CTCTCTCTCTCTCTCTCTCTCTCTCTCTCTCTCTCTCTCGTTGTTCCTGTGTCACTGTCCCTGTCCTAGAGCGGGTCGTGCAGTGGCTTTGTTGTTGTCTGCTCTAATTAGTTTCTTTTAACGCTTCTTTCTTTCCCTTTGAAGAAGTTGCTTTTTAATTGCCTCCCGGAAGGGCCCTGTGCGTGAGTACGTGTTGAGCCTCGTCATGAACTGGACACGCCGGCACACGAGAGGGGGGGGGGAAGAGAGAGAGAGAGATAGAGAGAAAGGGGGGGCGCAGCCCGACGAGAAGGGATGAGGGAGGGTGTTCCTAAAGGAGGAGACACAGAGGGGAGAAGAGAGACGACAGGAAAGAAGGAGAAGGGAAAACTACGTTATGTCGCCCGCTTGCTCCATTTCCGTTATTGTCTTCTTCATCTAATAACACACACTCACACACACGCACGCACTCACACACACGGAGGGTCTTAAGGAGGGTCCTGAGGCAGCTATCACTCATCTCCTTATGCCGACCAATCTACCGCCGCCCTCTCGGCGCCTGCTCACCCGCCCCGCCTCACCCCACCCCGCCTCGCCACGCTAGGCCCCGGCCATACGCACGGCCGCGTCCAAACTTCGCACTCATCACTTATGACCCTCCGCGGCGCCCTTTCTTTTCTGTCGTACACAGAGTCGTCTCTCCGCCCCAGGCGCCCGAGTGTGTGTCGGGGGTGGGGGACATCCATTTGCTGCTGCCGAGGCTTCTGCTACGGACCAACTTTGACTGTTTCAGTTGGAAGTAGAGAAGACAGGACGTGATGCGGAGTATCGCGATCATGACGTCCTCTAATGGTTGTGTTTGAAGCACTCTTGGGCCAGGGTCCGCATGGCGTTTGCCAATATCGCCATCATTTAGCGAAAAAGTTCGCTAACTAGTTCCAAAAGAATATATAACTGCGCGTATAGTGAAATGATTTATGATTCTAGATCAAGACACCTTCTGCGTACACACTGTTAGATTTCCAATGCAGTATTCTTGAGCAGTGGCTAAAGGTCGGGGCATAGTTTGGGGTTGTTGCCGCTCGGGTACTTGTCCACCTCCTGCAGGAGGACGAGCGTGCCGGCCCAGACCTCGGCGGCCGTGTCCTCGATCTGGTCGTCGGGGAGGATGAAGCCCTGCTGGCCGTGGTTACCGGCGTCCTCGCCAGTGTCCTTTGAGGAGAACCTGTGTGGAGAGTCAGTTGCATGTTAGTGTAATTAAATATACTGTCTGGCGCACCAGACGACGAATTGATGACAAAACCGACATTTTTCCTTCATAATTTCATCGAAAGTCAATTTGTTGTTAGTGAAATGTATGACAGATGGCTTACTCTGGTCGCATCTCGAACACGTAGGTGTATGGCACGCATTTGCTGTACACGTAGTCAATAGAGCTGCCCGTGGCTATGTCTGCAGACATAACAGAACTAAATAATTCATCTCTACAAAAAAAACACTCTCTTGGCAGCGTTATCTGCCCTTCACAGCTCTTTTGTATAGCTCCACTTTAAATTAAAAAATAATGGCCCTGTGAAAACCAAAATGTTAGGCCTCCTCTCCATGCCAAATAGAGCCGTGCTTTAGACGAATAACTATTTCCGTACTGCTCTCAGATGTTGGTATATTTTTCTGAACGGCAGAGGTTTTACTCTGTACTCACAAATGGTCTCGGCGATACCTCCGTATTTGTAAGTCACCCCGTTCTTTGCTTTAACGGCTTCGGCCGCCTTCGCGGCTATCTCGTTCTGAATACCGGCAGAAAGAATACTCATTAGGCGTCCACGTGATCACACACGTATTTTGAGGAGTCATCATGACCGTACCAGATGGGCGTGTCTCGTTGTGGGGTTCTTGGTGTAAGACCAGGGGAACATCAGCATCTGGCCGTAGGCGTGCAGCGCGAGGTAGAGGCGCATCCGTGGCGCCAGAATGTCCACGTACTTTCTGAGATTGCTCGTCTCCGCCTCGGACTCGGCGTGGGGCCCCGCGTAGTGTTCGGAGTAGACGATGTTGTTGGTACCGACGTCTGCAAGACCATATGGAACAAGTGATGTGGTAACTGTGGCTTTTATTGGTCGGTTGAATAGTCTTCATTGACTTTCAATGAAGAGCTTACCCTGCCAGTGGAAAGGCCAGTTCCGATTGGCGTCCACACCCTTAAAGATGAGCCAATTTGTACTACGAGTTTTTCGCCAGCTGCGGTTCTGCGGACACAGCCGAAACAAATTATGAATTGGCTACTTCTCTAGCTTTTAAACACACAAAAACGTAGCTGTCAGAACTAAATTTGGGGATAAATAAATTTAGAGGTAGACCAATAATTAGCTGTGGTGGCTAATACTTTGGTTCGTTCTGAAAACTCATTTTTGGTGTTTTGGTTGTCAGACAGAACCGGTTGGACCTTTGCAACCAAGCTTTGCTGTAGAAACTGCTATCTCAAGCAGCTGTAATTATTAGCTTGTACAGAGAATTTCAGATGTTGTCATCCCTTCGTTAAGTAAATTGTTAGTTCCGACGACTAATTCTTTTTTCAGTGTACTATTTATTCTCTGCAGCCAAACTGGAAACTGCGACAGATAGACACGGCCACCTTTATTTGTTTTTCTTTATCCGCAACACGCGCTTATTGGCAAACACTGGCGTAACTGTATGCGAATCATAGCAGCGTTTTTGCGTTTTCTCTTTAATGACGAATTTATTTTTGGGGTATGAATATTTGAAGTTTATAACGTGTGCTGCTGCATCCTTTCGCCCCACATCTCAAATTCTGTTCTACTGACCCCTACTAGCACTGTTAAAACCTGGGGAACAATTTTTTTAAAAGCGTTATGAAAGTTCCAGTTTCATTGTAATGCGTTGAAGTGATGAGCATTGCGGACAAATTTGTTTCTAAAGCGATTTGTTTACGAAGTTGCAAAAGCATTACAGAAACAAAATGTTTAGAGATGTGGAGCCGATGTGAAGCAGTCAGTTTCTTCTCAGCTAAGTTTGTAATGTAACCCATTTGTTTGCAAGGAATTCACAGCGTAACAAGCGTATGCGATAGGCAACAAAAACGCAAGGACGGTGCTTCCCACCTTGGTCCAGGTGTAGACGTAGCCGTCTGGGTTGACGCAGGGGAACATGTGCCACTCGAACTTCCTGACTATATCGTTTTCATCACTGTTGAGGATCCGGTCGATGAAGTAGGTGGCGGCGGCGGGGGCGATCCACTCGCGGGCGTGGATGCCTGACTCGAGCATGACCACCGGCTGGTCGGGAGCGAACGTGATGACGACTCCCTTCATGTCTAAACCCTCGTAAGATTTGCCGATAGTGTGGACCCTCACGGTATCAGGGTTGTTCTTCTGCAGGTCATCCATCCACTTGTAGATCTGCAATGAGCTCGATTCGTTAGACTTTGTAGAAAAATATTATCAGTCAATGTAGGAAAAGTTTCCGAAAAAGTAAAAATACAGTTACTGACAAACTAAAACTTTCGAGATTTTTGGATAATGTGAGTCGATTAAGTTAAGTCATAAAGAAGCAAGTCTACGAAGCTGTGTGCAGCCCACGTTGCTGCAATACCTCAGCCTCAATGTACTGACTGGTAGCGAAAACCCATTCCTACAGGGCATTGGTCTACAGCGCGGAAGAAGAAGAACAAAAACGGAAGGTGGAAAGGACCCGCTCTGTCCCCCTCTCCTCTACTGGGTGGAGTGGGGGTGCACCCTGGGAGATGTGAGGGGCAGGCGGGGAGGAGTGCGGGTGCCTTTCCACCTTCCTTTTTTGTTCTTCTACTTCCGTTCAGCGCTGTAGACCAATACCCTATTCCATTATTGTGATGTGATACCTTCTCTAGAGGGTAGTACTTTTTCCAGTTGAGGGGCTCGTCGTCAGCCGTCAGAGTGAGGGAAGCTTGTAGCGTCTGATTTTTAATTAAACTGGAAGATAAATTGATGAAAGGTTTGGATTATTGGTTTAATTTTGTGAGAAAAAATAGGGCCGATGATGATACGTCATGTTTTAATCTACAAGGAAGAAACGTTTTTCGCACCTGTGTAAATCACTGATAACTTCCCCGTGCTCGATGCCTCGGCCGTCGAGAAAGCGGACGAGCTCTTGGCGCTGCTCGGGCGACACGCTGACCTCTACGGGGAGTCCCTCACGCCACAGGTCGAGCTACGGGCAGAGACAATATCGTCCGCTATGTAGGGAGTATGCGCCTTCTGGGCGATCACACATTTCAATTTGTTTATAAGCAAAGATAAACTGATAGCCTGCTGTTGTTGTTCAAACACTTTGGCTCGGTCATGTTGTTAAAAATTCAGAATACTGGTGTGACATTCGTTATAGCGTGACATGACGTATCTGCAATGGCATGCAGCCTGCGACGAGAGAGCGAGGAAAATGCAGTACGTAGTCACGTATCTGACGTGTCATTGTAGGGCATCATGACACAATTTACGTTTCTGACTTAACGTGATGGCACGGTGTTTGGACATAACAGTGCGGTTTGAGTGGGAGAGACTCGTTACCATGGGATGCTTGTCCAGGTACTCGTGCAGGGCGCTCTTCTGCTCCTGGGTGCTGGGGGTGATCTGCAGGACGGTGTGACCGGCGAGGTGGTCGGTGTCCGTGTGGCCCAGGGCGGTCACCGCGAGGGCGGCCAGCACGGCGGTGAGGAACAGCATGCTTGCGGCCAGCGGCAGCAGTCTCAGCGTCCGCCAAAGTTTACGTGGCTATTCAAACAATTTTTGAAATCGAACGTGCAAAAAAATACGAACACTTAACGCCAAAGGGTGGTAAAAATTTAGCAGTCTAAAAAGAATAGTTCAAAAATTTTGGCCAGCTGGGCGACTAGTACTCTCACCAGTAGAGAGGGCGGACGGGCAGACGTGTTGATTGCTACAGGGAAAGTGAGTCTCTGGCGTTCACCGCAGTGCGTCTTCTTATCCATTGCTAGCCACTCAATTACCTGAGATAGTGGCGCCAGAGGTAGCGTACACTGCTCTGTACTCTTATTCAATATTCCCCTCACATTTTGGTGAAATGACGCTTTAAATGTTATTTTTAGTATTTTTTCATCGCAACTTTAGGCGCAATATTTGGCACAAGGTTTGCATTTTGTTTCAGATTTAGCGGATCAAATTATTTCAAGTTGTCCTTGCCTTCACATGCACAGGGAACTGTGTAGGAACTCTTTTCTATCATGTGTGTGACGCGTTCGTATCACGTGATAACTTAAGGACGCCGGCGACGTCTTTGGCGCCTCGTATGGTATATCGGCACATCGGAACAACCACGCTCGGACCCCGAGGGCCCTCTGTCATCTCTTGTGAGTGGCCCGGAAGGTAGGCAATCTGTGCAACAAACCCGTGTATAGTAGGCAGAGGCAGGCAACCGACAGTGCCCCCCCCCCTGTCAGACGGGCCTTAATACGCGCCTGGGAACAACCTGGGAAAGAAAAAGTGGTGAAAGGCGATGGGTTGGAATATGCAACCTACCTGACTGAACGCAGCGCAGAACCTCGTGGTTTCAAAGGTTGGCTTTTGTTTTTTTCACTTTTGACCATGTATTTTTAACGAATTTTGAGTTGGGAAATACACGCGTTGAGTTCCAGCAGTTTTTGCCGGGCCCCACTAACTATCCCGCCCCGGCCCGCCCCCCACTGTAGAGGCGGTTGGCTCGGGTTGGAGTACCCTTTTCAGCCGCGTGAGTGCGTTGCAGGCTGCCAATGCGCAGGGGTTGCTGGCGGACCGCCTCCGAGTCGCTCCGCCGCCCGTGCAAGCGCGCGAGCTGGGGCCAACGGGACTGCGCCCGCCTGCGCTTTCGGAGGCGCCCCAAGTCTAGCTGCAGGCACAAAAGCGGTCGCTGCTGCGCGCGAATCGTGGGCGCCCAGGTGAAAACGCGCCACGTGCTCGACGCGTTACGAAACACACACACACACACACACACATACACACACACACACACACACATACACGCGCGCGCGCGCGCGCGCTGAGGGGCCCTTGTGTCTCCTCCACCCCTTCCCCTTTCAGGCCATTCACAGCCACGCTGTACGCATCGCACCCCCGCCCCAACTTCGATACCCCGACCCCCCTTTCACTCGCATCCCCTCCCCCTCCCTATCCGCACCCACACACACACACACGTAGTCGCCTGTGATCACCGGCACACAGGGAATAAATGTGAAGCGCATGTCGGGACGTGCCACACAAACACACTCGTACACCATACAACCCCCCCCCCTACACACACACACACACACACACACTCACAGGCGCACGCGCGCTTACACGTGTGCACGTGCATGCCCACGCACGCATTCTACACGCATGAGGGGGTTGCATGATATTGAAATGTGGTTCTCCCGGGAGCGCCGGCCATGGCGCGGCCCCCGCTGCGCGCGGCCACATCCCGCAGCCTGGAGCAGGCGGAGCAGGGCGGAGCAGGGGTCCGGGAGCGCCCCCGGGTACACCGCCCCACGCAGTGTACTATCAGCAGCACTCAGTCCACCCGCACTCACCATAAAAGTCAGAATTTCCCAACAAAAGACTGTCAAAATAGTTTTGAAACATGATTTTCCGTTGGGGGTGGGAGGGGGCACGTTTCAGAGGGCGAAACAGTTTATGCGGTGGTTCAGATTCAAACTTACACGCGAGTTAGTGGTACTTATGTTTCATGCGATGTTTGGCACTGACGGTCCCAGACGGGTATACCTTTCTCATCGTTGACTACCCTACCTTGCTCTCCGCAGTGGACCACAATGGACCTGACCGAGCTGGAGCCATCCGACTACTGACGACTGCCGCCCGGGGAAGTCCGGCTCGGCCGAGGCGAGGGTAGTATCGCCCTGGGTCCTATCCGCGGGTTCGCCCCGAGTTGCACTCGCCAGCCGCACGACACAGTCCACCACTCTAGGTACCTGTGATACGAGGAAACGAGGGGTGCAGGCAGGGTGAGAGAGATCTCTGTACACCACCGTGTGAGCGCATGCATGCTGCCTCTCTCTCTCTCTCTCTTACAATCGTTCCGGATCGGGAGTAGAATTACTTGCGTACCAGAGAAGAAAACAAATTACGTGGGACCAGCTGGTCAAGCTTAGGAAAGCAGCACTTATCGTACTACCTAACAACAAATAAGCAAACTGCGTTTCCACCTCATCCAACGGATATCTAAGGCCATAAATAAATCAGGTAGTTTTACACTTTCTATTCTCGACGCAGGACTTGTAATCAATCTCACCCCTCCTTTTTTTCCCGCCGACCTGGCTCATTTTGCTGACTTAACAATCTGTCAAAATTTTGCTTGTGTGTTCGCGCTTGTTTATGCATTTTAAACAAAGGCTGCCTCCGGGCCGACGGTCGGCACCGACCCCTCCCTCCTCCCCGAGGACCCAACAAAAATACCATGAGTTTATTTATATGGCAATATTTTTGCCGCTGTCCCTTTGATTTCCACCCTGCTTCGCTTTCCTTTATGTTCACACAATTTCCATGTCTTTCCTTTTCCACCTATTTTCTCTGCGTCCCTCCCCTTTCCTCCCCCACCGTCGTGTATATAAGTCGCCGGCGCCCTTTTCAGAACACTTTTCCTCTTCTCTCCCCTTCTCTCCACCATCCCCCTCCCCCACGTCCATTTTTATTTTTCGAGATTTCTGCACTTGATGAATGAAAGGCGTATGCAAATGAATATAGGTTTGAAAGAACAGCCCGAGAAGTTTCCCCCCGCGAGTCTGAGGAGTGGGGTGTGACGGGGGCAGGGGGGGGGGGCAAAGGTGAGAGGAAGGAGGAGCTGGAGAGGCGGTCCCACTGAGGCGGCTGGGCGGCCCTTTTCGAAAGTGCGTGTCTTCTTTGAGCCCCTCCGCTGATGCATTAGTTCGCCTGGAGGATTTGATAATGACTGAGCGTGAATAAATCATGACGATATACAATCCTCGCAATCTGAAAGTTGAGCGCGAGCGCGCCGACCCGTCTACCTCATGAAGGACCATTCTACCCCCTCCCTCTTCCCCTCACCAAATCCGCGCTTCTGCTGCTCTCTTCGAAAAGATATCTCACACTTTCCTTCTTCCTCTCCCTCGAAAGTCTGTCATCTGTCTACATATACACCTCCTCCTCTTCCCTCTTTTCTCTTTCCGCCTACGAACTAACTACAAACAGCATAAGTAAGCGTCGATTCGTGGGAAAAAATTCTCTTGGGAACCTGCGTTTGTTTGATCTGTTCGCCCCTTGTGTCGCCTTGTGGTTTAACTAGCGAACTACAACTTTAACGCTTTAACTGGTGAACTTTTAACTTAACTATAGTCTTACCTACTGATACTGCGTAGCTCATCATATGCTAAAACAGTGAGTAATTAGAATAGTAAAAGCTTGATAGGCAACTTTCTTTAATAACCCTCATCAAAGTTGAAGATACTATTGTGTGTTTTTGTGTGTGTGTGTGCGCGCGCTTGTGTGCGTGCGCGCACCTGGAGTCTCTTCCCAACGAATGAACGCAAGGCTGTCGGCTATGGGGTATCGCCAACGGGAGACGTGGGGCATCGACGTATCAAGAGCCAAGAAGGGAGTGCTGACCTCGGCACTGACAGCCTCACAATGCGTCGTCTTCTTTTTATTTTACTCATTCGGACATCCAGACTTGTTCATGTCGCTGTTGTTGTTATTCACGCAGAGCATGCTGATCTCTGCTACTCGGAGGCGAGATTTGCTATGAAGTGCACGTTATCTAACGCCTATTGGGTAGGCAACTCACCACCCACGTATCCCGTATGCACCCCCCCCCCCCCCCCCCCCTTCCCCCTTTCCCCCCCCCCCCCCCCCCCGGCCCCTTCTAATGAGTTTACGTCATTATCCATGTCCAGAGGGAATGGTCGCTCAATCAGTACGCAGGCGCAGAACACGTCGGGAGACCAATTTATGTGTGTGGGCGTGACCTTGAAAGCAGCTGAGATATCAAGGAAAAGCTTATCTTGTTGACGGTGCCAGTGTCGCCTATCGTTCGCTGGCAGGTGCATGGTGCATTGCTACCCACAGCTCGCACTCTGCTGACTGTAAACAGGAACTTTCATTATTATTATTATAATAATATGGCATCATTTAATCCCACTGGTAAGCGAATTGAAAACATTCTTAAAATAATGACTCCTCTCCAGAAAAAAATATTAAGGGGCAGAAGTGTGTAGTATTGCTTTAAAGGGCATTTAGGTGGTAGGCAAAGTGGCGTTGAAGGATATGAGACGACAAATCTGTTGAAATTCTGAGACAGCCTTCATGCTGCTGTGAGGTTGTCTATTGTGCAAGTTGAATGTGTCCCCGGCAAGGACTTGTAGACCTTACTTCACAAAAAATACAAAGTGCATGCCCACAAATGACTACTTCAGTCCCTATTCTTCACTTAAGATGACCGATTCATTGCTCTTTCAGAATCAATCTTAAAGTGTCCTCAGGGCAAATTGAAAACCCTTGCCACTTACGCTTTTCCCAGGGCAATGTTTTTAGTTTTAGAGTATTTTATTTATGTTTATCAGATCACCAACATTTACGCTGGAACCCTCTGAGAGGGGAATGGGTGCTAGTATCCCCACATCGTATGAAACGACCATGGAGTGGACAGGTTGAAAAGACCTCGGATGAAGAAATACCAGAATTTGATCCTAAAAATCCACTATGTCCAGGGGTAAAAAGATCAAACGGTGAAGTAAGAATTCATTCCGGCTCAATACATGCCCAAGCACATGCCTTTTTGAAAGAGCAGACATTTCAATCAATTCTCTTTCAACCCTTTTTTATTTTGCCAGACCAATCCTGTTTACGACTCAACATTTGTTTTCCAAAATGACTTCCCTGCTCTCCTTGAGGATGTACCTTCTCCACCCAACACACAGGATCCTCTATTCCGAATGCAGGAGGCTCGTGGAACTTGTCGTGTTATGTGTTTTCATCCAAAATCTAACATAACAGTACCCTTAATGACAAGGGATGAAATTAGAAGTGTCATTGACAGGTTGGAATCTTGTTTGAAAATTATACTTAACTGTGTTAATAACTACCACTATGACAGTAGCTGACACATTGTAATCCATCAGGTGGATTGAGCAGCAAGAAGAACTTGGACAAAAATTTGAATGGGTTCAAATTTTTGAAAACAAGGGCGCCATTATGGGCTGTTCAAATCCTCACCCTCACTGTCAAATTTGGGCTTCCTCATATATCCCTAATGAAGCCCAAGTGAAAAATGAAACCCAACGTTCATATTTCCTTGAACATGGAAGACCATTGCTAATGGATTATGTCAAGAAAGAATGTGAAAAAAAGGTCTGCACAGCTTTCCTTGACTTTCTTTCACTGTGGCAATAAGTTTTCTTTAGTTATCAAGTATTTATTTTTTTTGTATAGGAAAGGCTTGTTGTGGAAAATGAGCACTGGGTTGTCGTTGTGCCATACTGGGCAGTTTGGCCCTTTGAAACAATGGTGATCCCTAAAGTGCATGTGTTAAGGTTTACTGACCTAAGCTCCGACCAACGTAATTCTTTAGCTGATATCATGAAGCGGATTACTTCCAAATACGACAACTTGTTCCAGACAAATTTTCCATATTCAATGGGTTGGCATGGTAATACTGGTGCTTAATTCCGTAGTATTTTGTTTTAGGCTGCAGAACCATTGCAAACGGTTTTGTTTTATAGGAGCTCCTACGGGAAAATATGCAAAGGATGATATGAGTCATTGGGTTTTCCATGGAATCTACTACCCACCACTTCTGCGTTCTGCTTCAGTTAAGAAATTTATGGTGGGGTATGTTTTGTCCAGCTAACCATTTCAAATTTTTGTAAACCAATACAACACAATTTTGATTAAATTTTAATTACAGGTATGAGATGTTGGCGCAATGTCAAAGAGATTTGACGGCTGAGCAAGCAGCAGATCGTTTGCGCTTGCTACCAGATACTCACTACAAGCAAAACTAGGCATTGTGTCATCTTTCCTATGAAGGCAGTGAAAACTGACAAAGCGATAATTTTCAAACAATGTAAAGTTGCTATCTACGGAGTGGCAAACAAAGTTGGAAGTTTAATGTAGCTTTATTTTCAGACCAACATGCTTTTCTTACATAGGTATACTCATGAATCATTATTTATTCATGATTACACATATACTTTGAATCCCTTGACTTGTGTGATTACTAGAAAGAGCCCAGATTGCAAAGACAGTAACACTGAGGAAAGTAAGTAATTTACAAACAGAAGTAATTATTTCATCATAAGTGTAAATTAACAAAGAAATTTAAAAATTGAGAAACTTCCCCAGCATCCACATACCTAGAATAATATTGAAGAAAATCCACATATTGATGTAGATAAAATAGTCAATTTCCTAGATATGACATCATTCTTCTGTAATTTGTGCGTTTTAGTACATAGAATGGTACATTTTTCATGAATTAAGAAGTCAAATTACTCATACATAACAAGTGAGCTGTGAGTAAGAATCAGTCTAAGAAAGTTTGCGGTAAATTAAATAAGGGAAGGAGGACAAAGGAGGCAACTTGGCAGTGAAGGAAAATAAATGCTAAACAAAGAAAGAAAAATTACAATCTGATAAAACAAAACGCTGTGAATTAGTATTGTCATGAACCTTTTTTCAAGGGGAGGTTGTTTTACAGAAGACTGGCCAATGAGGTGCATTTTCACTGGTCATCTGTCTAATTCGCCAATGCATTGGCAAAACCTAAGGGGTAAAAATGAAGGTCCAGACAGATATAGTAATGGCCAATTTACATGTTTTGAGTTTGAGAAATGTTGTTCACAAGACCTTATAAAAATATCCATATACAATGTGAAGTACTCTTTTAATCACTGACTCTATCAAGAGACAAATATACAATATATACTTTTGCCTGCTTAAACATTTTAACACACACAATAATTTTATTATTAAGAAAACTATTTTTATCAGTTCCATCAAAAATATGAACCACAAGCCTAGAAACTAAACTCTCATCTTATCATTCACTAATTTCAATCATAGATAAAAAAAAAAAGAAAACATAACATAGGTGACAACATGGGCACTAACAGCTAACAGTAGGTTTAGCCATAGTCAGCTGACATAAAACACAGCTTGCTTCTCACTACACTTATAAAGATTTATTTTCTTCTTTTGACACAAAAGGATCATGGGGTAACTTAGAGTTTGTCAGAGTCAGGACTGATTTGAAGTCAGAAAGGTGCAGTGACTCGAGTATAAATTGACAAGGATATCATCTTAAATCAAGGCATGAAGAATGGATCATGTCTAAGAGACAAAAATGGCCGAATGTAACACTAATAAGGAACTTTTCACACTTGATACAGTAACTGGCTAGATTTATATAAGTGTGTGGCAAATAATAAACACATTTAATTTACCATCTATAAGTGGAAACAACAAATTACCCCTTGAGATATTAATATTGAACTGACTTCACCTCTATTTTGCATCTTAACTCTACTCACTCTTTCCCATAGCATAATAAATCCTATCATTTATTCTTAACCTGTGAGGGTGATCAATTATTTTTTATCTGAAGAACAAAGACACTTGCATACTTATTGTCTCACGGACACTGATTGATTACTTATGACTTAAGAACATAAAAATATTTTCTCTTTCCGTTCCAAATCATGTCTGTGCATAATAGAGAATGTAAAGAATGACACATTTGATACCATTTCTCTCTTGTTACTTTTGATGCAATATCTGAAAAGACAGGACATTCTTTTCATCACTAATTTGGCAAGAACACCAAGCGTAATTTGTCAATGGTGACACAAGGCCAACCACAACTATCATATACTACTACATAGACAATGGTGGTAAAATACCAACCATACAACAATCAACATTATTCAGGAGTGGTGATGGAACAGTCATTCCACATAATGCACAAAATTGGTACACTTATGTACACAATCATAAACAAAAGTCACAATTGCAGATTGACAATACTGTCATATGTTTCACACAAGCAAAGGAATTACGAATGAACTTCCATTTACATACATGTGCTTCACAATCTGCAAAATGTGGTGAATACACATGACACTGAAGAGTCCAGTGAAAATGTATGTTCACAATAGCTCAGGAATTTTATGTTTCCCTCAGAGGGGGAACATTTTAACATGAAAATTGACACAGCTTTCAATTATCCAGGAACAACTTAATAACTTAAGATGAGAAACAGGAGTATTCTGAAGAAACTCATAGGAAAACGGGATAAAATCATCGGAACTACAGCCGAGACTATAGCTACACAGGATAAAACCTTGGTACAATACATAAAATGTTGTACACTCCTCACTTCAAATCAAATACAATTAGGTGTTCTTTCCAATCATGGCAGTTGACCTGCAACTGAACAATAATGT